GCCACAGGGGGGGCTCGGCGAGATAGGCCCCCGAGCCCGCGGGCGCGCCCGCCCGGGCCGCCGCGGGCTCAAGAGGAGCCAGGGTGCCAGGCTGCCCCGCAGAGGGCGCCGCGCGCCGCCTGGAGCGCCGGTTCACGCGGGGGCGCGATCGCGGCCGCCAGGCCAGGGAGAAGACCATCCTGACGCGGCTGCGCTTCGAGATGGCCCTCGAGCACGACGAGCAGCTCCGCCTGCAGAATGTCGGCCACAAGAGTTGCAGCGTCGGGGTCCTCAGGAGGGTGACCAAGCGCCCGAGTGCCATCCAGATCAAGAAGACGCCCGGGGAGGACATGCAGTGGGTGGGCGAGTTCGCCCTCGCGAGGCTGAACGCGAGCGGGCACAAGGGCCGGCGCCTCCCCGACCAATGGAAGCTGGCGCTCAGCATGGACAAGGCAAAGCTGGCCTGGGCCACGGCCGGCAGGCTCTAGTAGTAGTAGTAGTAGTAGTCGTAGTAGTAGTAGTTGTTTGTAGTCGGACTACGACGACTACCACTATTAGTACTGCTACTACTGCTACTATTACTACCACTACTAACGAGTAGCTACTACTAGTACTACCACTACTCCTACTACTACTACTACTACTACTACTACTACTACGAGTACAAGCGCTAGTACTACGAAGAACTACTACGAGTACTACTAGCAACTGCTACCACTACTACTACTACGATAGTTGCTAAACGTATTAGTCTATATACCACTGGTACTACCAGTACTAGTACGAGTCACTAGCTACTCGTAGTACTAGTCACTACTACCAGTATTATTCGTACATGCTACTACGAATATATGTTACTGTAAGTAGTAGTACTATCACTACTAACTACAAGTACGAGTAAATACAACTAGTATTACCTACTACTACCACTAGTAGCTACTACCATTACTACCACTAGTAACTACTACTGCTACGAGAAACTGCAAACTACGACTACGAGTAGCTGCTACTACTACTACTACTACTACTACTACTACTCGAAGAAGTAGTATTACGAACTGCCAGTTATTACGACTAGTAACTAGCATTAGAAGTAGTATTACCACTACCACTACTACTAGTAACTACTACCACTACTACTACCATTAGTTCGTTCACCTGGTGGCGAGGGGCGGCTTCGTGGACCTCGGCCTCTTCGCTCGGGGCCCCGGGACCTCCGCCCGGCGGGGGGCCAGCCCGAGCGCGGTCGTCGTCGACGCCGCCGCGCTTTGGCTCGAGCTCCGGGCCGAGGAGACCGCGCGCGTCCGCGAACTTGGGAGAGCACGCCGACCACAAGGGGCAAGCGCAGCAGGCCTACTTGAGCGCAGGGGGCAAGCGCAGGATCACCCTCATCAGCACCCCTGCAGTCGACGGGCTCGTTCGACCCGAGCAGGGGGGCCAAGTCCGCCAAGAAGCGCAGCGTGCTCTTTGTCCCCCTTCCGCAGGGCACTGCCGAGTGAGCGACGTGAACCTCGAGGTGGGCGCCCGGTGGCGCGGCGCCACCTACGGGCGGGGCGATGGCGAGACGGAGCGCTTCCGAGCAGGCGAGTCCAGAGGAGCATTGCTAGGGCTGGCGCAACGCTCTGATCGCGTTCTCCGAGGGGGAGCGCGCGAGGGTCTTCGAGGCCATCGACGCGCGGGGGCAGCCCAGGGCCTGGGCGGGCGAGCTCGTCGCTTCCTGGATCATCGATTTCATCAGGCAGCAACGCGGCCAGAGCCTCGCGTTCGCAGACTGCCCCTCGAGCCAGTGGGCCGAGGCAGTGGCGCTCCGAGCGTGGCTCCAGAATGTGATTCACGCGCCTGTGGCCCCCGGCGTCACGAGCTTCTTGCGCGAGCCGGACGCCCGCGCGCACAGCAAGGTCAAGGCCGCAAGCCGAGAGGTCAAGGGCGAGATGCGCTGGGCCATGGAGCAGGACTGGAGCCAGGAAGGCCACGGCCGAGCCCCAGTTGAGCCCGGCCGCGGCACCCAGCAGAGCCTGGCGATGGAGAGCCTGGAGGGCACGCAGAGGTGACCCGAGAGCGCGCCGCCCGTGCCCGAGTGGAGCGTCCTCGACGGGAACTGCTTCCGCAACGACGAATTGCCCAGGGACTGCGAGCAGGGCGAGAATCCCTGCCTCCGGGAGCTCCGAGAACTGGGCCTCGAGCTCGCCGACGAGCAGAAGGACATGCTCAGGGCGCCAGGAGAGCGGATCAAGGAGATCCAGTTCCCGCGCGCCCCCGAGAGCCGGATCAAGGCGGCGCGAACATGTGCTCGCAAGAACAAGCGGGCGCCCAAGTTCGCGGGCCAGTTCCTGGGCAAGCGCGCGCGCAAGTGGCAGCGCGGGAATGCCCAGACTGGCGGCGAGGCTTCGCTCGAGCACATGGGCCGCGGCGTGGCCGAGGCGAAGCGCGCAGGCAGGCCGCCGAAGGCGCAGGCGAGCTTCTCCAAGAAGCTCAAGCAGAAGAAGCAAGCGGAAAAGCGCGCCAAGAAGCAAGCGATTGCCAAGAAGAAAATTCTAGACTCTTCGCGCATCCCCACCAGCCCGTCCAGAAACGACACCCAGGCGAGTAGAGGGTCGTCCTGAGGGGCTTTTCGGCGTCTTGGGTGCCTCGGGGGGGCCTCTGTGGGCCGTTCGGGATCCTCTTTGGGGCCTCCTGGGAGCCTCTTGGGGCCTCTTGGGGCCATATTGGGGCCTCTTGGGGGTCTCTTGGGGGCCTCCTGGGGGGTCTCTTGGGGCCATCTTGGAGCCATCCTGCGGCCTCTTGGGCCATCCCGGGGGCCTCTTGCGGCCGTCGTGGAGGAAATCGATCGAAGAAGAGGGGGGCCTTAATTAGCGTTGCCCCCTGAGAAAGCCAAAATGGGGCCAAAACCATAATAAAATCAATGCTCTCGGCTTCCTCGCCGAGGCCGTTTTGGGCGCTCTGACCGCTCCCCGCCCCGCCTGTCCAGGTCAGCGGGGAGGGGGTGGGGGGGGGGATAAACCCCTCCCCGAAGGGGAAGAAGGAGGGGTGGAAGAGGAAACTAGTTAAACCACCGACGCCCTAAAGGGCTGGTGGGATTGGCCTTGAGGCTTGCGAGGCCCCCCCCCCGCCCCCGGCGCGGCAAGGTGGCGCGCCCCGCCGAGGAGGGCGGCGTCCACGAGGGCGGGCGCGGCAGAGTGCAGGACGTCCGGCGATTCCCGGGCACCGAGGACGCGCGCCGCCTGCGCGCCCTCGAGGTAGAGACCGCTGCGATTTTCCAGATCGAGAGCAGCGTGGCTGGGGGGCTCACAGGCGCTCGTTAACTTCCAACTGCTTCCGATTGAGGCGGCGGAAGCTAGCGGAAACGGCGGGGGCGACGGCGGAAGCGGCGAAAGTTGGCGGAAAGCTGGCGGAAGCAGGCGGAAGCGATACGAAGCGGAGGCAGGCGGAAGCTAACGAGTGCCAGTGAGTTCCGAGCGACAGAGGTCACGATCGAGCAAGACTACAAGTTCCCCAGGCCGCGCGAGGTAGACCGGCGACAGACCAGACTGGCTCGCCGCACCTAGTTCGCCAAGGAGTACGCGATCATGAACTGCGAGCAGATCGTCAAGGGCGACGCCCTCGAGCTGGGCACAGTGCGCGCGCTGCTGGGCGAGATCGAAGAGCGCGCGGGCGCCCCCGAGACCGTTCTGGCGGTCGAGCCCGCGGCGGCCGTAGCCCGGGCTCGCGAGGGCCAGGGCGAGGGCGAACCCGCCGCCTAGCAGCCCGAGGAGCAGATGCGCTGGGTCGAGAGAGCCAAGGCCCATCACGTCATGATCTGCGTGCACTCCGAGGCGCCCGCGCGCTGCGCCTACTTCAAAGTCGGCGGTTGCTAGAATTGCCCCCGCCCCATGGTGCCTCCATTTTTTCGCTCCGTTTTGGAGGGGGTCCTGGAGGCGCCCCGGGAAGGGGGCACTTGCGGCAGCGCCCGCCAAGTTCTCGGGGATCGGCGGGGGCGTCGCGGCGGAGCGCCGCGACGCCCTCAAGCGGCCGCCCGAGAACGCCAAGCAGGCCCAAAAGGGCCGCGCGCGAATTCACACTTGCACCCCCGCGACTTCTGAGGGGGATGCTGGGTTCACTTTGCTCGGGGGCTGCCGAGCGAAGTGAACCTCGCCCTCCTGCCTTGAAATGGCGGGTAGGGTTCGCGCGTGGCCTCCCAAGGCCGCCGCGGGGATCCTCCGCGAGCTCGGCGCCGTCGGCCCTGGCGAGACCTGCCCTGCGCCGAGCAGCGTGACGTTCCAGGCCGACGCCTGGCCCTGCGGCCTGTGGACGAGTCGCTGGACCGAGCGCGCCCTGCCAAGATCCGAGGCGAGGGCCGCCATGCGCCCGCGAGCATGAGCACGATGCGCGCCCGAGGCAACGAGTGGATCAACCAGCTCAAGGAGGCCAGCGACAACGACTTGGCCAAGGCCAAGGCCAAGGCCGCGCACAAGACCAAGCCGCGCAGGGACCCCACTGCGGCCGACCCGAAGTACGCCATTTTCCAGGGGGCAAGCGCTGCCGCCCAAGCGCGCACCAAATGCCTCCCCTGCAAGGACGGCCCCAAAGGGTGCCGCGCCTGCATGGGCGAGCGGTTCGAAGTCCAGCGCAAGAGAGGTGTCTTGGCCAGCACGGCCAAGGGCCTCGCTTGCGCTGGCAAGTTGTAGCCACAAGCATCAAAATCCCTCGATACAGTCTTGTGCCGAGCGCCCAGGATCACCATCATCATCATCATCGTCGTGGTCTTCATCATCATCGTCATCATAACTTCTAACTGACATCGCCTTCCCCGGGGAAATCGCTGATTATCCCCGCCAAGCCCCGAAATTTGTTATATCGGGGATATGTTTATCTCCTGCGCTCGGTCAATGATATGATCAAGGATGTCCGAGGTTACCCGGATCTTCCATGTTTCGACTTCCTGACATGTCACACGGCTCGCAGAAACGATGGTCGCCAGATATTTCTTGAAGTTCAGGAACGTTTACTGAGCTAGTCGGATCATGACATTCTCTATATCCTAGGAGCACTTCGCCGTCTCGGCGGCATCTGGCGGCGTGTGGCGGGAGGTCTTGCGGGGATCTCCAAACGCAAAGATCCGACGTTTGAAACATTTAAAGCGGAGTTGCTGTGCCGTTTTAGCCTCTAGAGGCCCTTGCCGGGTTTGGGGTCGAAAACAATGACTCGGGATGGAAATATGGTTTGGGGAGGTGACATCCAAACCCAAAGTTCCAATCTAGGCCTCGCGAGTGAGCGACGGAAAAAGACGGGGTCGTTTTCGCCGACATTGGCGCGTAAGCGCCTTCGTCTCCAACAAAGCGCGCCGCGCCAGCAGCCCGCGTAAGCCGCGGCGTAAGGTCGCCGTGCCATCTCGCGAATGACCCTTTTTTCTTTTCGTCGCTCAAGTTGGGTTCGGGCAGATGGGGTCGGAGGATTGCGCCGCGCCGCCGATGCAAAGCAGATGCGGTCCGCTGTGGGTCCCGGTTTTCTTTTGTCGACGTTGCCGATCCATTACCGACGTCGACGATGCGTCGCCGATGCACCGATGCGGTGCGAACTTTTGACCCCATCGAACCCGATGTTCCCCACGGCGACATTGCCGGTACATCGCCGACATCGATGATGCATTGGCGATGCGGCGCGACCTCCGACTCCATCTTCTCGGGCTCCATCTGGGGGGCCTCTCCCCAACGGACTTGCATTTTTTGACTGTAAAGGGATCCCCCCCCGGGCTCCAAGGATGTCAACAGAAGGAGTCATGAGTCAGGATGCGCGGCCGCCATAGGGAAGGGGTCCAGACCTCCAGGGGTCCAGACATCAAAACAATTGGAGCGCCGGATGTCCGGATCCAGACGGTGCGGTGACCACACCGCGTGTCCCTGATGTCCCGGCGGGCCCTGGGGCTTTCACATCGATCTGGCCCGAAAGATGACGCAGGAATATCGGGTCCAAAGGGCCCTGGTCGTGATTTCTCGCGATGGTGCAGTTTTATTCGCAATGCCGAACTCGATTGGTGGTAAGCCAGTTGGTATTCTGGGTGTCCGCGCCGTTTTGGGACTCGGGTCGTTTTCCGAAGGCGCCTCGGGCGGTTGGGGCCTCCGAGGTAACGAACATACAACGTCGTGGAAATCATAACTGGAGCCGTAAAGGCCCCATCTGTCTGCTGCATTTTTTGAGCCTGATCGATCGGTGATGGTCCTGGGGCCCGAGGCCGCGTGAAAATGCCCAGTGTGACAAGAATGCAACGCAGGGGACAGTGCGTTGAGGTCGTTGGGAGCTCCGAGCCCAGACATCCGGCGCTCAAATTTTGTTCCATGCGTGGACGCCCGGAGGTGTGAACCTTTCCCAGGGCGGGATCCTGGGCAGCTGTTGGCCGTGCTGGGGCCCGCTGGGGTCCCCCGGAGGCAGAAAATCAGAGAAAGTCGGTCTCGGAGTCCACCACCACCACCACCGCCACCACCACTCCGCCGAGCATCTGGGAGGTCGCGCGGGCAGAGGAGGGCGCGATTGACAGCTCCTCGTGAAAATGCAGAGAGTCACAATTCCAGAGTGATTCAGGAGGGGAAAAAACACACACGAAAAAACACACAGACACAATTAACCGTCGATTCCCCAGAAAGTATGGGAAAATATGGGAAGTGGGGGGAAGACAAAAACCCAGAAAATATAGGAACATGTGGGAAATCCTGTTATTTGTGTCTATTTATTCGTGTGTCCCAGGGCCCCTTTAGTGATTGCGTGCAGGAGGAGGGGAGGAGGACGAGTCGCGGGCGAAGTGGAGCTAATCACAGGACAAGTCGCACACGGAAATCGCCCACTGCAGTCGCGGGCGCCTTTCGTTTCTGTGGCGGCGTGCCCAATTTCGGGAATGCCGTTCGAATCGCGCAGTCGGTCACTGCACTGTTCCGGGGGCCCAAGAGGTCGTCCGACCTGGCGGCGAGAAGGTCTCCGAGCCTCGGCGCGGTCCCGCCGGAGAGCGCGGCGGACGTCGGGTGAGGAAAAGGGTACCGATGCCGCTGCCGTTGTCCAGTGTTCGACCTTTTCGTTCGGAAGCAAATCGTGCGAGCCTTATTTTTTTTGTTCAGCTTTAACGGTGCGCTGGCGTGCGCTGGCGTCTGGTAAATCGATGGGAGAGCTCCGATTTAGGGTCGTCTTGGGTCGATCCGCGTCGGCCAGCGTCGGTTCGCGATAGCCAGCAAGGTGGCCTGGCAGGCTCCCATGCGTTGAAACCAAACTTTTGGGCCTGCCCAGAGATCCGCGGCTTCGTGCAAATTTGGGCGGCGGCTTTTGTGATGTTTGACCTCCGTGGGCGCTCGTCTGGCCCCGCGTACTGATCTCTAGTACTTGTGCCACTTACAGCAATGAATCAGGTATCCACATCTGACGTATTCTCAGGTAGAAGTCCGTCAGTCGGCTAAGTCCGTCAAGTTCCCTGCGGTAAGAATACGTATCCAATAACATGCTTTGTTTGCAGATGTTGCTCATTAAGTTGGCAAAGCAGAATTTGCCAAGCCAGCTAACTCGAGCTTAGCAGTCATCCGTTCTGCAATTCGGCTCGAATTCGTTTTCTGTCATATTGGCCAAGCGCTTTAGCCCCATCCCCGTCGGCGCGAGGCGGAGCAACGAGGTTTGGGACGAAATCCAATGAGATAGGGAGGGGGAGAGAGACAGATAGAGAAGGAGAGGACGAGAGAGAGAGAGAGACAAAAAAAGAGAGAGCAAGAGAAATAACATACACAGACAGAGACAGCTAGAAAGAGAGAGAGAGAGTGAGAGAGAGAGATAGACATAGAGAGAGAGGACAGTAAGAGAGAGAGAGAGAGAAGGAGAGAGATAGAGCGAGAGAGCTAACCATGACGAGTCATAGAACAACTGAGATCGGTCAAGTACACTGGGGTCCCGTCGACAGCCTGCTACTGCGGTAGCCGAGGCCGCCATCGCATCTTTGGCGGTGGTGCACATTTTGGGGAACAAGACATGTTGAAACAACCGCATCCAGTGCTAAACGATTGAGGTAAAGGACGGGGTGGTGAGCAGGCGATACGACGTGTTTCTCTTCGCTCCGCGTGGGGAAATGGCACAGGTCGGCGAAACCTCGGTTGGCGGCTGGGGGAACAAGGCTTGACCGCTGAGCGGTTTGCGAACGACGGGGCATCCCCTGCCGCAACCAGGTCCCGATGACGCGTGGCCGCGCGGGCAGCTGGCAAGAAGTGGGTTTTACGGCCGTGTTGGACACCCTATGCGGGCATGCGTGGCACCGAGATGGTCGTGCAGAGTTGGGACGGGTGACGCCCCGTCGGGCGGAAACGAAGGTCGGAGGGAGGCGAGGGCAGCCTGAGCGCGGCGAAGGCGTTGCATCAGCAGGCCTTGCTAAGAGGTCAAGGAGCGAACCTGGCGCGAAAGCGCGGCGCGCTGGAGATCCAGGTGGCCGCATGACGCCTGGAACTCTGCGGCTCGACCCTGCGCAGGACGTGGAGCGTGAAACGGGCGGGCAGCAGTGGCCCTGCTGGCGAGGTGCGTTGCGAGGTCCGCGCAGCGGTCAATGCCTCGCGTGGGCACTGGTTCAGGCTTGGGGGCGACGGCGGGCGTCGCCGCGGGGGTCTGTCGACCGACAGGGGGGGGCCTTGCCAACGCGGCTCGGCTTGCCCGGGCGGGAAAGAAGGGGGCCAGGCCAGAGGCAATGGCGGCGAACAAACGCTGTCGCAGTGGGAGGCCCCCTGGCCAGGTCGGCGCGGCGCTCGTGTTTGGGCGTGTCAAGGTTAGCGCAAGACCGCCACGGGGAGGCGCGGAGTGAGCTCGGGACGCACGGAGCTGGCGGCAGCGGTTGGGCCTGGTCTGCGCGGCCGTAGGCCGAAAGGCTGGGGGGGCCGACGTTCGCCTGGCGGCGTCGGGGCGTGGGTAGTGCGGGCGTCGAGGTCGCCCGTGCGTCCGCCGAAGCCAAATGGGCCCTTGTCATCGTCACCGACGGGGTCGACGAGGCGTTGAGCCTCCTCCCAGAGCCGCTTCCCAGAGCCGCTGGTGGCCTCTGGGCGCGGCCGCCGCGGTGAGCATATGGTTGGGTTCGAACTTTCCAGCTGGGCGTTGGTGTGGCCCGCTCGTCTGTGAGGGAGCGGTGGCGCACGGTGTCGCTCGTCGTGGGTGGCTTCAGCGAAGCTATGCAGCACTGCGGCGAACCGGTGGCGCCGTTTGGCTTCCTCAATCAGGTGAGACGGCAGGTGGAGAAAATTGACCGATTTTGCGGCCCTGAAGAGGTCTGGTTTGGTAAGGGCGCATCGATGGACGCGGGCCCACAGGTCGCCTTGCGCCCCGTCAAGCGGCGGGGGGCAGCTATCCAGCAGCCGCTGGAACCCGTCGACCGCGGTTTTGTTGTCGACGAATTTAAGATTTGGACAGGCCGCTTGACCGCGGCGACGAGTTGGGGCTGGGCCGAGGTCTCGGCTCGCCGCGCGTTCTGGGTGAGACAATGCACGCGGGCAGAGTTGTTTAGGCGATGTCCGCTGCCGTAGTGGAGGCAGCGACGCAGTGGCGAACGTGTCGGCGCCCTGCTCGACGCTCGGGAGGCACTCGGCTGCGGCGCGAAGGCATGATTTCTCGAATAAAATAACGTCGTTGAGACGCCTGCAGCACATGGAGCGGGGCCCCTTGGGCCACGTGGATCCAGCACATGCGGTTGCCCCAGTCATCGCAGAAGGTGCCGAAGCCCGGCCAGGTCCATGAGAGCGGGCGCAGGACCTGAACGCGGCGCCCAATCGGCCCTCCGCCGTGCGCGGTCTGCACGTAGTCCTTGAGCTCGGTTGCCAGGCGGGTCAGGTCGTGGCAGCGCTGGACCTGTCGTCGGACTGCCAGGATTGGCCCCGTCTGGACGAAGAGGTGGAGCTCGACGACATGGCCAGGGATGCAAGCTGACAGGGGGGCCCAGAAGTTAATTCATCGGCTGCCCTTGGGGCGGACAGCAGCTGGGATCCCTTTGTTGCTCGCCGCTTTGGTCTTGGTGCCCTGGGCGCGAATATCCGCGCCCTCGGCGCGTGCGCCGGCGGCGAGGGGCCGACCCTGGCGGGTTTCTGGCCCCCATGCCCATGGGGGGGCGGCCAACGCGAGGGAGGCGCTGACAAGCTCACCTCGCGCGCGCGTCGGCGGCGCGGATGAGGTTCAGATCTCTTGCGAGCGGCTTTTCTTTGACGTTAACGCAGCTGCCGACGAGCACGATGTGGTCCTGGATTTCGATGGGGGCCCCAGTTGAGGATGAGTTTGGAGACCTGATCGCGGCGGTCTTGGCCCGCAGCCCGCCAGCTTGCCGGGGTGGATCTTCGGGCCCGAGAGGCGGTCGGAGGTTCGAAGGCGCTCCGCCGAGCCAGTGGTGGAGTAGCTGTCGTCGACAGAAGCGGTGCCGAGGGGGCGCGGGGCGCGGCGGCCTTGGCGGTTTGTCCACGCTCGCGCGAGAAGCGCGATGAATTGCCCTGGAGGCGGCCGCTCGCGCGCTGAAGCGGCGGGGAATATGCCCCCCCCTCCCCCCCCCGCTTCCGAATGCGTCGCTGGCGGCGGCAGTGGACGTCGCGCCGCGCTCGGGCGATATCCGGAGGGCGCCCCGCGCGCAGGGCGAGCGACAAGCAGACGTCGGTTGCGAGGTAACCCCAGCATATCTGCACATCGAGGGCGGCGCCCTCAGGGGGGCGAGGTTTCGCGCGTGCTCAACGCTGAGGGCCAAAGAAACGTCGACGTCTCCAATGGTTTTTTTCAGGGCGGCGCCGAAGCTGGCGGCGCGGTCCCAGCGTTTCCGCCATTCGCCCATGGCGCGCTTGGCGGGGGTCCCCAGGCGCACATCGAGACCGACATGGCGGAATGGGGCCGCTGGTCGGCGGGGAGTTCGCTTTTGCTTTTGCGGAGGCATGGGTTCGGAGTGCGGCGTGCGGCTGGGGCTCGGGGGCGTCGCCCGTCTGCTGCGTGGCCCGCAGCGCTTGTGCGAAGAGCCGAAGGATGGCGTCGGGCGGAATTTTGGCCTCTCGGGTGGCCCAGCCGCCCAGCCCGCCCGCCCTCCGTTCAGAGCGGCGGCGGATTAAGTCAATGAGCGCACCGCCCGTTTGAGTAAATGGAGCGGCGGGGGTCGGGGTTGGGCTTTTTCGCGGACATCCCCCCGGGCCGGCATGGCCTCGCCGACTCTGCGTCCCGCGGGGCCGAAGCGCGCGAGGATTGGCCCGCGCGCGGCGGCCGCGAGCTTGCGCGCGGCGTTGGCGCCCGCCGGGGTCGGGTTCGCAGGGGGGTGGCCGCTGGGCGAGTCGCTGTCGGAGCTACTCGCGGCGCTGAGAGCGTCGTCGTCGTCGGGCGCCGCAGTGGCCTCGTCGCTATCGACATCGGTGGGCCCGTCGCAGTGGAAGGGCGAGCTAAACGTACCACCCGTAGGTGCGGGCAGGTAAGCGGTTCGGGAGTTACCCCCCGCGCGGGCGTAGATCGCCTTTCCGCCCGTGCGTTTGCCGCGCGCGGAGGTCCAGTTCTGCGCGCGCTCAGCATGGGCGCGTTGGCCGCGGCGACGAAGTTCTTTTTCGATCGCCGCGATGAGGGGATCGCGGTGGCGACCTCGCGGCGGGGCTTGGTCGTTCCAGAGGTGCAGAAATTCTGCAAGAGCGGTGGGCCGCAGGCGCGTGGCCCGAGCGCGGGCGGCGGCGCGCGCGAAGTTTTCCCGCTGGGCATTGCGGTGGCCGGGGTCGGGGGGGCGGGTGCCCGGCGGGTTGCGCGCGGCGATGCCCCGAAGTTCCACGAGTTGCCGACGCAGTTTGTCCAGGCAGGTCGTGCGTTTGGTGGCGGCGCCGAATTCGGGGAAGGCCCATGGGGCCACGGGTGCCAGGGGGGAAACAAGTGCTTCCCCGTGGACAGCGGTCGCTCGCCGGCGTGATTCGTCCGCCGCGGGGGGGGGGGTCACGTTGGATGGTGAGATTGCAGTCGCGACTAGCTTTGATGGCGACCCGGAACATCTCCCGCGCGTCGTTAGC